TCCTTTAAGGCACATAGAGTTCGGAGGCTTGCGCACGAAGATTGATGAATTCTATCACCAGCTGTTAAACCTTTTTTTTACTCAATTAAGTGATGGCAAGGATGCTGAAAAATTACAGTACCATTTTAATAGCCAATACCAACTCCACTTTGCCCAGTTACTTCAAAAAGCTATTCCAGATGATGGAATAGGTTTGGAACTGGAGGTATTAAATAATGAGGTACGTAGCTATACATAAACAGCCTGGCCTTCAAACGTCAAATCTGCAATGAAGCCATACCAGCAACGTCAGCATCAACTGACAGTGGAAGGTAATTGCCTTTTGTGGGGAATTCGAGTTGTGGTTCCTAGTAAACACCAAACCCACATTCTGAAGGACCTCCACAGAGATCACCCAGGCTCATCCAGAATGAAGAGCCTGGCACACAGTTATGTATGGTGGCCAGGCATGGACCTAGACATTGAAAAGGTCGCAAAAGCATGTGATCAGTGCCAACAGCATAAGCATGCACCACCCAAGGCTCCACTACACCCCTGGACATGGCCTGCAAAACCTTGGCAGCGAATCCACATTGATTTCGCTGGCCCATTTCAAGGTACATCCTTCCTTGTAGTGGTTGACGCTCATTCAAAATGGCCCGAAGTATTCCAAATGGCTAGCACTTCAACTACTAAGACCATCACATACCTCAGGCAATTATTTGCTACACATGGCATTCCCTGAACAACTCGTGTCTGATAATGGACCTCAGAAGAATTTGCCAAATTCATGAAACGCAACAGCATTAAGATATCCGATGCGCACCATATCATCCGTCATCTAATGGACTAGTCGAACGTTTCAATCAGACGCTGAAGCAATCACTTAGAGCCAGTGAGAAAGACGGACGATCACTAGCACATAGACTATGTGATTTTCTCCTCACTTATCGCGCTACTCCTCATGTGACAACCAATCGCACTCCAGCTTCTCTCATGCTCAACCGTGAACTTCGCACACGTTTCTCACTACTCCAGCCAGATGTCTCCGCAGACGTCCACGCCAAACAAGAGAGACAGATGGTGCAACATGATCAACACGCGAAAGCCCGTCATTTTCAAGAAGGTCAAAACGTAATGGTTCGTGACTTCCACCCCAGCAAACCAAAGTGGGTCCCCGGAAAAGTCATCAAACACACACACGACGAATTTGAAACAGACTTGCCACACTACAACTACGAGAACTTCTCCCGCCACGAGCTGACGTTATCCAACACGTCAAAGCAAACAACCGGACAGGTACATGCAAACAATGGACTTTTAATCTTGTGGGGGAGGAATGTAGTATATTTAGACACATGTTATTTATAGGTTATATGATCATCCTATGATCTCCTATCCTTTACTATTCGCACCCTCATGTCTCTAGAATTAAAGTTAACCTTTTACTTTGTAGTCTGGACAGGATCTTTTATCATATCCTTGTTGTATATCATTCACTCTAGAATCTTTTAGATCTCTCGCCCACACCTCACTCTTTTGTGTAAAAGCACCGCACCTCTTGTGTAGATCAGTCTATCACTAAGATGTTAAATACTCATGCAAAATGCTGAACTTCTGAGTCATCATTCGTATCAATTACTAAGATACTACAATTGGCCTCCAGTTTTAGCAGACTCCACCTCTGTCTGTTGCCTAAAGCCTGCACAAATTTGTGGCTCAAAGTCCTTTCCATTCCACATTTATGGCCTCAGGTATCAGGCAAGTACGGCTGCTCAAAGTTGCACAGTTTTCTCAGAGCCTATCTCAAAATAGCTGATCCGACAGGAAATGTTGCACTGGCACCGAAAGTCATAGGAGCCATGTTTTATGTTTCCGGATGCTCCCCACCCAAGAAATGGTGCTAAAAAAAGATACTCTAAGTCCAACTGAGCTACGTTCCACGATTGATGTGTCCATTTGAATGGCTTATAGCTAGTTACCTTGCTCCTGAACTGAAGCAGTTGGGAATAAAATTGTCCCACATTCCCGGCAGCTTTGACGAAATAAATTTTTTATTCTTGTTTCGATTCAATCCAGGAATGTTGCCTGATCTGGTTCAAAGATCTCTCTTGCAAACCAGCCACACAGACAGAGATACCATAGGAGAACAGAGTAGAGTGTACATTGATATATAAACTGGGAGAGCCTTATTAAGTTTGGACCAGAATCGTACAAGCGACTTGATGATTGGAAAAAAATATTCTGCAACAGATAATTCACTGAAGCAGGCTGTATAGATTAACAATGCGATCATATCTGGTTACTTCTCCTGGAAGGTAAGGACAAAGTTATGCAACCACATTTATTAAATCTACTCATCTACCCAGGTGGAGTAGTCATAGCACAATAACATTCGTTCTCCATTCTTTTCGTTGGAAACAGTGTTTCAACATAAAAGAAAAATATAATTATATTTGGTGCAGAAACTGGACTGACCGAGCAAAATGTGTATCAATTATATATATAGGTTCATAAAACAGTTGAAAGACAAAATTATATAATGTTGTGTTTTCCTGGTAATTCTCCTTAATACTTATTCTGGTGTCTATGTTGTTGCCGTTGTATTTTACCGTTCACCACCTGTACACGAAGTCTGTTTCTCTTACAGCGGCTAATAGTTTTTCTTCCACTTTACGTGCTTCGTCTCTCCACTTGTGCAGACGAAACACCACAGAGATATTGTGGTACATTTCCAGGTGTCTGTGTGTCTGTCTCTCACATGTTAGGTTTGCATAGAGCGAAATTATCTCTCTCGCAGTTCCTTCAGCCTCACTGAGGTTTCCCACCTGACAGGCATGGAGTGTTAGTTCTACTGTTGACAAGTTTGCTCCAGTTCCTTTAAGGCTTTAGGCAACAGACAGAGGTGGAGTCTGCTAAAACTGGAGGCCAATTGTAGTATCTTAGTAATTGATACGAATGATGACTCAGAAGTTCAGCATTTTGCATGAGTATTTAACATCTTAGTGATAGACTGATCTACACAAGAGGTGCGGTGCTTTTACACAAAAGAGTGAGGTGTGGGCGAGAGATCTAAAAGATTCTAGAGTGAATGATATACAACAAGGATATGATAAAAGATCCTGTCCAGACTACAAAGTAAAAGGTTAACTTTAATTCTAGAGACATGAGGGTGCGAATAGTAAAGGATAGGAGATCATAGGATGATCATATAACCTATAAATAACATGTGTCTAAATATACTACATTCCTCCCCCACAAGATTAAAAGTCCATTGTTTGCATGTACCTGTCCGGTTGTTTGCTTTGACGTGTTGGATAACGTCACGAGTTCTCGATGGACGGAGATGAAGTTCCTTGCGTTGCAGTTGCATCCGATTCGTGGGTGTCGGCATATGGTGTAGTCTACATATTGATCATCGGAACCATCGTGCTGGTTTAATTCAACGTCTGTTTCTGATGAAGATTCTCGTAGGTGATCTACGTGTCGTTTCCAATCTAGCCCAATGCCAACATTAACAACGTATGATAGTGGGCCGGTTTGTTTGATGACTTTTCCGGGGACCCACTTTGGTTTGCTGGGGTGGAAGTCACGAACCATTACGTTTTGACCTTCTTGAAAATGACGGGCTTTCGCGTGTTGATCATGTTGCACCATCTGTTTCTCTTGTTTGGCGTGGACGTCTGCGGAGACATCTGGCTGGAGTAGTGAGAAACGTGTGCGAAGTTCACGGTTGAGCATGAGAGAAGCTGGAGTGCGATTGGTTGTCACATGAGGAGTAGCGCGATAAGTGAGGAGAAAATCACATAGTCTATGTGCTAGTGATCGTCCGTGTTTCTCACTGGCTCTAAGTGATTGCTTCAGCGTCTGATTGAAACGTTCGACTAGTCCATTAGATGACGGATGATATGGTGCGCATCGGATATGCTTAATGCTGTTGCGTTTCATGAATTTGGCAAATTCTTCTGAGGTCCATTATCAGACACGAGTTGTTCGGGAATGCCATGTGTAGCAAATAATTGCCTGAGGTATGTGATGGTCTTAGTAGTTGAAGTGCTAGCCATTTGGAATACTTCGGGCCATTTTGAATGAGCGTCAACCACTACAAGGAAGGATGTACCTTGAAATGGGCCAGCGAAATCAATGTGGATTCGCTGCCAAGGTTTTGCAGGCCATGTCCAGGGGTGTAGTGGAGCCTTGGGTGGTGCATGCTTATGCTGTTGGCACTGATCACATGCTTTTGCAATGTCTAGGTCCATGCCTGGCCACCATACATAACTGTGTGCCAGGCTCTTCATTCTGGATGAGCCTGGGTGATCTCTGTGGAGGTCCTTCAGAATGTGGGTTTGGTGTTTACTAGGAACCACAACTCGAATTCCCCACAAAAGGCAATTACCTTCCACTGTCAGTTGATGATGACGTTGCTGGTATGGCTTCCATGAAGATTTGACTTTTGAAGGCCAGACTGTTTTTGTATAGCGATACACCTTGGATAAGATTGGGTCTTGTTTTGTTGCTGTGCCAATATCAGCTGCTATGACAGGTAGTGCTTCAATTTGTGCGATGTTGAACACAGATGTTGTGTAAGTGCTAATCTTCACTGCAGTGTCTTTTGCGACGGGAAGGGGAAGTCAGGAAAGACCATCTGCATTGGCGTGATTGTTGGTGGTCCTTGAACACTATATCGTACGAGTATGCTGACAACAGCACGGCCCACCATTGCAATCTAGCAGCTGCTAATGAAGGGACACCCATCTTGGGCCCCAGTATAGCCAGGAGAGGCTTGTGGTCTGTGACCAGCAGAAATTTCCGGCCATACAGGTATTGGTGGAATTTCTTCACACCATAGATAAGAGACAATGCCTCTTTCTCAAGTTGGGCATGGTTGCACTCACTTGTTGAGAGAGAAAGGGACGCAAATTCTATGGGCTTTTCGGAGCCATCAGGTAGAATGTGGGAAATAACTGCACCTATTCCGTATGCAGATGCGTCCCTTCCCTCCTGCAAGGGTAAGGGGTAGCTTGGGGTCATAGTGGGCTAGAACAGCGGTAGAAGAAATGGCTTCTTTGGCCGGTCTGAATGCTTTGTCACACTCGGCTGTCCATCTCCATGGCTTGCTTGGCCGTAAGAGCATGTTGAAGGGCTGAAGGAGGGTAGGGATGAACTTGCGATAGTATATAGTTCACCATTCCCAAAAATGCCCGAAGCTTCGGGACGCTGTGAGGGGCTGGTGCATTCACTACAGCTGCAATCTTCTCTGCGTAGATTTTGTGCCCGAGATAGTCCACTGAACGTTGCATAAAGGAGCATTTCTCCCTCTTCAGGCGAAATCCATGGTCTTGTAGGCGCTGGAAAACTGTCCGCACATTTCTCAGGTGTTCGTCATCGTCTGTCAATACCAGCAATCTGCCTAGTTTAGCGGTCACGGTGTTATTTCTGTACTTAGCTTGTTGTGCGCCATGTAAACATGTAAACCAGCTTGTTACGTGTATATTCGTCGCGCATGCGGACAGAACGGCGGTTACCATAGCTACGGGCATCTCTATCTGAAGCGCACTCAGTATTTCTCGAAGGAAGACGGTGGATACGCCAGCTCTTCGCTACACCACTCTGTGTTGGAGAAGGTTTGACATGAATAACGTTGTGATGGATGTCTGCCTGCCCTTCTGATGGTATTATCCAACAAGGAACGGCCCGACCTCTACGCCTGTCCTTTGCCGAGCGGAACCACCTTCCAGTATGGGAGGTGATTCGTGCCAAAATTCGACGATGTGACGAACCCGTTTTGTTCGTCTGGAGGAGGCGTGATTCGTCGAGCGGAGGCGCGTTTTTACGAGTGGAGAGGCGGTCTCGTCGAGCGGAGGCGCGTTTTTACGAGTGGAGTGGCGTGTCTCGTCGAGAGGAGGAGGCAAGTTTTTTGAAGTGGAGAGGAGCGCGAAAGTGTGGAGAAGGCGAGTCTCGTTCAGCGGGAGGGGCGCGGTTTATGCGGCGCTGGACACACGTCGTGAGAGCCCGGATGTCAGACCTAGAGCAGCTGGTGAGTGCGACCTGTCAGCTGCAGCAGCAGCTTCTTGAGAGCGCGGTGCGCGGTCTTGAAGGTCAGCCATACTAGCCGTGTATGAATAGCCATCCTAGGAAGTTATTCTTATTAACGCCGTCCTGCCCTTTGACGGAGGCGGTTCTGGGAACCCGACTGTGGAGATACGCCTCTCCACACGAGAAAAGAAACTCGCCTCCTTCCTCCTCTCACTTGGCACGCCTCTCCACTTGAAAAAAAACTTGCCTCCTCTCGACGAGACACGCCACTCCACTCGTAAAAACGCGCTCGCCGACGAGACACGCCTCTCCACTGTAAAAACGCGCCCCCTCGACGAGACACGCACCTCCAGACGAACAAAAACGGGTTCGTCACATCGTCGAATTTTGGCACGAATCACCTCCCATATTCCAGGACTGACTTTTCTGTGTTTAGTGAATGTGGTATGACACTAATTTCAATGTATGTTGGTGGATACTAAAGCACCTTGAGTCCATTGCACGTGAGAAACTGCGTGAGAACGCCACAGCTAACTGCGGGGCGTTTGTTGCTGTGGTACGACGACTGAGCGAGGCCGCGGTTGCCTTGGGGTTTGGTGTTTGTCGACACCATTTTGTGTCTGTAGGCGTGATGAGGTTCCAATACTGGATAAGTTATTAGTCCAGGCAGGACTGGCAGTGGGGATAGCTAGCCGTGCTAGCTTATCCTAGAACTGTGGAAACTCAGATGTTGACGGCCCTCGCCAGGCTTTAGCTCGGCGCGGACTGGGTTGGGATGTCTGTTGGAGCTGGCTAATTCAAGATTTAGTTAGAGCTCCCTCACGACTGAATTCGTTGGCTTCTAAATCTAGTAGATTGCACGTTTCGTGGTAGTTCGAAGTGCCCGGGGCGTTTTTTGTGCGCGCGCATATAGTAGGTGCGCTGTTATTAGAAAACCACGCGCAGAGTTCAACATGTAAAGAGCTTCAACATAGTAAAACAGGAAATGAGGAGAGGCTGGCGTAGCTGGCCGTGCACAAGGCGATGCTCGTCGTTAGCCGGCGGTGGATGAGCTGAGCGTAGCGCGTCAGTTTCGTAGCTGTCACTTGCCATCTAGCAGTATGCGGTGTTATATGCGTTGTGGCTGTCGTCTTGCGAGTATTCCAACCACTCCATGATGTCTTCGCAAAACATCGCGTGTGGTTGCTAAGGGCGCGCAGCCGAGCCTGCGTGCGCCCGCTCTAAATAGTTAGGCAGGCTCGTCCAATGAATCGTACGCGATTAGAGGCCTCGGCCTAGGTAGCGTCCTCGACTACGCTCGGACAGCTACAGCCCAGGGCCCTCGGCCTTCTAAATCGCGTAGATTTCACGGACTCACTGTCTAACTATTATATAGAGCGTCCCAAGAAACGTCCTACAGTTGATCGAGTCCTACAACTTTACTCGGTCATGGACGTCTGCACTGC